TTATCCCATGTTTTTGAAATAGTTGCTTCCAGGAAGTTTCCTCATGTTTTGTACTATGTATTTCCCCCTTCCCCTCTCCCTATATAATCAGGCCCTATGGCCTTTGTAAACACAATCTTTGAATATTGAAAACCATTTACTCTTTGAGTATTATTAAAATAGTGTGATGCTATTTTAGCCAAATTCCTAATTCTATATCTTAAGAGTGGTTATCTTAAGTGTGAGTTTTAGGTTCTAGATATTTGATTAAGTGTGTAATATCTTAATTGAATTCTAGATTCAAACCCCAAGTTAGGATAAGAGTGTGTAATATCTCCTAACACCAACTTGGTTTTATCCATCCGTGATATTTCTTCCATTTCATATCCCTCCATTTCTCCTTCTTAATCCTATTCTTTTTCTTCCATAAAATACCAAAAGAGAACTCCTAAAACACCCTCCATACTTTCGCCCACTGTTTCCCTTCCATTTTCCTCCGCACATCCGCCACTAAATTATCAACTTGATAAGACCCCCGGTTTACCCCTAACAGTACCCTGTCATATGCCTTTTCCAAATCAATAAAAGCCATGTGTAGATCTTTCTTTTCGCTTCTATACCTCTCCATCATTCTTCTCACCAAGTTTATAGCCTCTATAGTGGAGTTGATCTTCCTGGCATAAAACCAAATAGGTTCTCTAACACTGAAGTCTCTTGTCTCAACCTCCGTTCAACCACTCTTTCCCACAACTTCATCGTATGACTCATAAGCTTGATCCTCTGTAGTTTCCACAACTTTGAATATCTCCTTTACTCTTGTAAATAGGAACCAAAATGCTTTTCCAGCACTCGTTAGGCATCTTCTTAGATCTTAAAATCTCGTTAAGAAGTTTAGTTAGCCACCAAATGCCTTTTCCTCCTAAACCTTTCCAAACTTCAATCGGAATGTTGTCTCTCGGCTATTCTTCATTCGTTTTAGGGCTTCCTTGGCTCCATTTTCTCGAATTCTTCGATAATAATTGCAGTGTAGGTCCTCTTCCCTCGTGTGTAGCCGATCGGAGCATGAGAGATTCACATGCTCCTCATTAAACAGATCGTTGATGTAGCTCTTCCACCGGTCATTTATGCTTTCATCGGAGACCAAAACTTCACCATTCTTATCTTTAATGCACTTAACTTGGTCCAAATCCCGCATCTTTCTTTCTCGGCCCTTTGCAATCTTGTAATTACATCTTTCCCCTTCTTTCGTACCCAAGGACTTGTAAAACCCTTAATATGCTCTCATTATTGCTTCACTTACAGCCGCTTTTTTCTCCGTCCTAGTTGTCTTATACCTTTCTCAACTTTCCACATTACGATATAAAGACCACTCCCTGAAACGCCCCCATTTTACCTTTACCTTCTCTTGCACACTAGTGTCCCACCACTATGATCATTTGTCTCTTGCATTAGTACCTTTAGTTTTTCCAAGGGTTTCTTTTGTACAATAGAGAAGAAATCTAAATCACAAAATAAAAAAAAGATCTTAGAAGGCTATCTAGAAATTCAGAATCAAAACCAAAGATCCTAAGTGAAGGGAAGAAGCTAATGAAAAACATCGAAAATTAAAATCAGATATAGAATACCTACTTCCTACTCAGCAACTGCCGCCCCTTGTCAACCGTCGTCGCTCTCGTCACCCCTTGTTAGCCGGTTTCTCGCCCCTTTTGATCAACCTCCAGCGGCGTCACTACTGGTACCCTCCCTTTCATCAGCCACTGATGAAGAAGAAAGAGAAGAGAAGAAGTTGAAGAATGATGAGGTGGTGGGTTGGTGAGAGAGAGAGAGAGAGAGAGGAGGGGGAGGGGGATGGGGAGGGAGAGGAAGACGGAGACCACGCGCGAGGGAGGGGGAGGGAGAGGGAGAGGGGAGAGGGGAGAGAGGGAGAGAGAGAGAGATTAAAAGGGTAGAAAGAAAGGGTGAAGTAGACATTTTAGGTGTAGAAAATCTCTAAAATAGGAAAGTGGAAAGATTCAAATGGGACGGCTCAAAATGGAAACTTGAAAGGTTCAAATGGGACGAAGAGAACAATTTTTTTATTTTTCATTCTTAATTGTTAACCGTATGCATGGCAAAGAGTAATAGTTGAGTGGTGGAGCTTAAATATATAAGACCTGGTTCTTTGTTAAGACCAAATAAGAAATCGCATTATTTCATTTTGACTTGTACAATTCAAATTCTAGATATCAAATTCTTTTCATGTGTTATGAAATTTAGAATGTGGAATTGGAAAATCGAGGATTAGAATTCAATTCTAAATCCACATATTTTTGTAAGACCTGTTTCTTTGTTAATGTTATGACCTGATGAGAGAGAGAGAGAGTTGAGTCGACATAAATGAAAATGGTGGAAAGAAAGGGGTGAAGTAGACATTTTAGGTGTAGAAAATCTCTAAATTAGGAAAGTGGAAAGATTCAAATGGGACAACTCAAAATGGATAGTGGAAAAATTCAAATCGGGCGGAGTGAATAATTTTTTATTTTTCATTGTTAATTGTTAACCATACGCCTGAAAAAGAGTAATAGTGGAGTGCTGGAGCCAAAATATATAAGACTTGTTTATTTGTTATGTTCCGTTAAGAATTCACGTTATTTCATTTTGACTCGTACAATTCAAATTCTAGATATCAAATTCTTTTTTTTGTGTTCTGGAATTTTGAATGTGGGGAATCATTGTCCA